AACCTGAGTCTCCTGCATGGAAATGTTGGCACTGAACAGTCTAGAAACCCTCATTCTAAGTCATCTGCAACTTATCTCATGACTGATCCTTAGGAAGCTATCAACCTAAATGGCAACAGATCATTTTTTCTAAGGACAGTCTCTTGCAGTTAAAGGTTATTTATTAAAAAGATCAGAAGTTCCTAGGCGGTGCAAGGTTGGCTGAAAATCTGGCAGTTTGAACCTACCCAGAGGCACCTCAGAAAGACAGGTCTTTCAATCTGCTTCCAAAAGACCACAGACTTGAAAAACCTGGGGAGCAGTTCTACTCCACACACATGGGGTTGTCGTGAGTCAGAACAACTTGACAGCAACTCAGAACAGCAATAGAAACTCGCCGTGGTATTTATTACAGTTATGCCATGGGTCAAGGGGCCACACTATCAGCCATATCCTGATTGCGAAATTTCACCTGGGCCTCTGTGCTAAGACAGACACGGATCTTCTGAACTGCTGGACTTTCTTTTATGAACCTCTGCTCTCCTCAGAATCTTGTTTCCCTTGTCCCGTAAGTGTTGAGGAAGCTCGGAACTTGAATGAATGCCCACTGTTGGCAAACATGCAGGTTCTTCTGGTATGAGCTGCTGTATAGTCACGTTCCTTCTAGCTTCAGCAAAGCAGGCCATCTCTTTTCCCTGCAGTCAGACTGACCTTTAAAGTACTTTAAAATCTTGTTTTATGGCACAATTTTCGTCAACTATCCCAATTCCTTTTTTTTTGCCATAAAGTGGTGGTAATGGTTGTTATGTGCTGTCAAGTCAGTTTTTACTCATAGTGACCCCGATTCCAAGGAATGGCTGGTGGGTTTGAACTGCTGACCTTGTGTTTAGCATATCGTATCCCATTTAGGGAAGGAGTAATGAGCCCTCACCCCTCAAGTCTTTGATACCATCAAGTTCTCCACTGACCACACTTGGGCCTTCTCTAAGGAATGAGTTGAGTGCTCCTACTTCTGTGGAGTAGAAAGCACTGTGCTCCGGCAGGCAGCCTTCCCCCCACTGCGCTGTTCTGCCTTGTGCTAGGGCAGGGCCATGGGAGCGCCAGGAGCCAGTCCTGGTGATACCCAGCCATCATCTGACAGGTAGCTACACAGGGCCTGCTCAGTTCTCCAGTGACTCAGCCCCACCCCAGCTCAGCACAGGCAGGCTGATGTTATGCCAGTCTGTCCTCTTCAGAACACTTCTTCCTGGAAATGTTTCTCCATCAAATCTAGCCACCCACCCTCATCTGCTGAGTGGGAGCTTTCTACTCCTTGGCTGTCATCCAGCCAAACGTCAGGTCCATCTGTGGTCCTTCCTGGGAGCTGACGGGCTGGGCCATTTTCATTCCACTTTGGAAGTAGCCTGGCTCTGTGGTGTAATGAAAGCTATTTCTTTCAAATGTGCTCATTCAGCCATTCGTCAAAGACTGAGTGTCTGGTGCTGCTCCGAGGGTTTTTCAAGGGAAACGCCAGTCTCCTTGAAAGCCAGCTTCTTGTCCCTCCCTACAGGGACTCTTATACCCACAGAGCACCAACAATGAAATGCATGTGGTAGCAGTCAGCAGAGACCCCCAAACCGGGCTCTCCCTATTGATCTGGCCACAAGTAAATTCACGTTTCCTGGCATTTAAAAAAAAGGGAAAAAAGTAACGCTACAAACTCTTGGCTCCTTGTAGGCAACCTGTCTCATGAAATTGAAACAAAGTCAAGACCAGTCAAGTTCTTCCTATCATCTGTGTTACCCTATCGTTCATTTGTAGACTGAACTCTATAAGGTGCTAACACTAAGCATTGTTCTAGGTACTGTTGTGGCCCACAAGGCACTTGCAGTCTGGTGAGAGAAAGAAACATGCAGAGAGTTATTGCAGTTGATTATGATGCTTACAGGATAGAAAGAAGTGGAAAAAATCTATGGGAAAGACACCTATTTATGTTTCATAGGAAGCTTTGAAAGCATGGTTGTTGTTGTTGTGAAGTGCCGTTGAGTCGGTTCCGACCCATAGTGACCCTGTATAGGGTTTCCAAGGAGCAGCTGGTGAGCTTGAACTGCCAACCTTGCAGTTCAAACAGCTTTGCAGTCTGGCGCTTAACCCACAGTGCCACACCAGGACTTCCTGAAAACATGGTAAAGACACCATAAAGTCATTTTATATAAGAGACCTAGAAAAGTGTGTATGTGTGTGTGTGACAGAGAACACTCTACAAACTTGCCAACATAGCAGTGACTTAGAACAACTCTAAGAATACCACACCTCTCTCTCACCAGCTGGATTTGAGTTGTCCAAAAAAGGAGTCTTTTCCATATGAGCTCTAGCACTGATGGCCAGCAGGTGTCGCTGCTAACCCAGCCAAGCCCAGCTGAGAAGGCTGGACCCAAGGAGCTCCACAGCCCATTAGCAGAGGTCTGATGCCTGCAGACTGGAAATGTAACCAACAAGGCTACAGTATAGACGTTTCACAGTCCTCAGCAACAAGCCCCAAAGTTAACCAAGGTTTCTTTGTGTTGTTTTGGGGTCATTACCTGATAAACATGGATTCCTGGTGTAGTATTGTAGGATCAGCATTGGACTATGAACCATAAGGTCAGCAGTTCAAACCCACCAGCGGCTCCTCAGATACCCTACATAGGGTTGCTGTGGGTTGGAACTGAATCGACAGCACTTAACAACAACAACCTGATAGGCACAAGGTTGCTAGTGCCTGTGCCATTTATATCTGGCATATCTCTGACAGAGCCGCTGTTGCTAGTGGGTGACTTGGAAGTAGAGCAAGAGCTCAGGTCAACAACAGGGTTGTGGTGGTTGGGTACATTCCTGGCCAATGCACCTCAGACACGGCCACCACCTATCTGTTAGTAGAAGCTTGTGTGTTGCTGTGATGCAGAACAGCAGAATTTCTAGACTAGGAAGAAGGGCCTGGTCATCTATTTCCAAAAATTGGCCAATGACAACCCTATGGGATGCAAAAGTCTGATCCATAACGAACGATGAGGACGGAGCAGGACTGAGACACATGAGGTTTCATTTGCAGGGGGGTCACCACGAGTCAAGGACTGACTTAATGGCAGTGAATAGCGACAACAACAGCTCAGGGCAAACGGGGCAGTGGTGTGGAACTACAGCGGAAGTGCTGGCAGAGACCACAGCACCTACACATCCACATTTCTGCCCACCATGCCTTTCCCTCCGGCCAGGTGCACAAGCAGCCCACACGCATGGATGTCAGCAGAGGTCACCTTCCCACATGAAGTGGGGCTCAGGTCCCACAAAGTTTCTAAGAAGGGCAAGAAACAATTTGCATGAAACCATATTGATGTGATTAGGAGGTATTACTGGATTGTGGTAAAGCAGGTAGTTCTCCCCCAACCCACTCCCAAACCCCCGTACATACACTTGGCACAATCCAGAAAGCAGACCTGAGGCATTAGACACAGCACTGAGAAGCGCTGTGAACCACTCCCTCATCAGAATCCATGCCCAACACAGGCATCTGCCCTCCTCTTAAAAACCCACCAGGTACTGCGTGGAGAGTTGAGGATGAGTAACCTTCAATATTACTCTGTGTGTAAGTCTAACAACGTCAGAGGGAGGAAGCTCAGGATGAGGTTGTTGTCCTCAAATGTATTTTTATTCTCTCCTGATGGACTGAACCCTCTGAAGGGAAGTCCTGACAGAAACAAGTGGCATGTCACCTTTCCGCTGTATGCAGTTTGACTCAGATTGAAGTGTGTATGTCACCAGCAAAGGTGTTGACAGGGCAGGAAAATAGCTGAGGTGATGCAATATTTAAGACTACATTATGGCCTCTATTGTGCTAACTTTTTTGGTGATCAAGAATTGCATATGTCAGAATTCAACAACCTTTTACAAGTCAGGATACATAGTGCTCTGGACCTGAATTTTGTTTGGAATCAATCCACCCAGAGGTGCCATGGAAGAAAGTCATGGTGATCTGTCTCTACCCTGACACACACGGGGTTGCTGTGAGTCAGAGTTGACTCTACTACAACTGGTTTGTCTTTATTCTTGCATTCTATTTACTGAGCGGTCTTTACCTAAAACTCAGTGTATTTAAGAAACTCTTGGTGTGGCACTGTAGGTCAGCACTGGACTGCAAACCATAAGGTCAGCAGTTCAAACCCACCAGCTGCTCCTTAGAAACCCTATATAGTATAATTGCTATGAGTTGGAACCGACTCACCCACACGTAACAACAACAAAAAAAGGTTAGCAGAATTAGCTTTTTACTCTCAAATATTCATGAAAGTTTTAAAAGTCTAACCCAATACTTCAACAACAACCTGGTTAAAACACGAGGGGGTTCCAAAAAGTATGGAAAACTAAAAGATAATAGGATTTTTCAACCAACTTTATGAAGCTCCCTCATACACTGCCTTCTTTAATACTTAAAATAAATAACACAATATTATTATACCCATTTCACAGAAGAGGAAACTGATACGAGAAGAAGCAAAGCAACTTGTTCAAAATCATATACAATCAGTCAAGCAGAGCCTTGGTCAAGTCCTCTATCCACAGAGCCACAGTTGCGTCTACAAGATACAGGCTGGCTCCGTGCTTGCATTCCCATTTAAAAAGATTAATGGACAATAGAATAAAGCTTTGGAATTAAAACAATTTCACTAACTTCCTCTTTAGCAAAAATTTTAAAAAGGAAAAGCAAGTAAGCAAGTAAAGGCATTGCCCCCACAGACATTCCATTCACTTTCTTTTTCTGATTTGAGTTTGATTTGTCAGACCAGCATGCACCTGTCAGAGATAATGCTATTATTCCAAGCAGATAATGTATCCAATCCAGCTGAGAGCAAAATAACAAGAGCTGGTTACCCCCAGTTTAGAACAGTCATACTTATCGCAGAGATAGAGGAGAGGGCGAGAAAAAGCATGCAGGAGCCTGCAAAGAAAAGCATCTTTGTTTGTCTCTGGTCCAAGCCCCAAAACTCCAATACATCTGCCAGTACCTCGACAAGAGTGGTCCATCTTGTTGAACTGAAAGTAGCCCGACTTGCACTGACACAGAGCAATGCCATCCAAATCAGTGCAGATGGAAGTCTCTTTGTCACATTCAGGGCTTTTCCGCTTGCACAAGCTGCCCGCTGCAATGGGAAAACAAGATGGTGAAAGAAAACAAACCCTCCACCGCTTCAAACCTTAAAAAAGATGAACTTTTCACTTAAAGATTCTGAGAACAGCCTTCAGAAAAATCTTCCTGGTGCAAAAACTCCTTTTCTGGGTCCATGCTACAATGTCTTCTGCCAATACATCCCTGTGTCAGCCCTGAGTCAGTTTCCTAAAAGTGCACTAGTGTTTCCCCCTTAAAAACACCCTCACCAAGTCCCACAGACATAGTGGGAACCCAAACAGGGAAGTAGCTTCTGTTGCTAATCCACAGTCCTCAGGTATGTAGCAGCCTTAGGCTAAGTGACAGCAGGTGGAGGATCAGCACAAACCAGAAAACGTGGGCACGCTCTTTAAATGAAGCTGGAAGACTTAGACTTGTCTCAGGCTAAAGCCTGTCTTGGCTCTGGGTGTCCATACTGCCTGGAGGGAGCCAGCACCTTTCTCATGGCTGAGCAGTTTGCTTCCCTGACAATGTGCTGCCTACCAGAGCATTATTATAATGAGGATGAAAGGTCATCTGCTTTTCCAAGGCAGATATTTTGTTTACCTCTCTCCTCCCACTGTACAGAAAGTTTCATGAGGCTCATTCATCTGTGGGTTTCCAGCACCTTGTAGTGACACTGGTCCACTGACTGTGCTCAGGGCCATGAGGGGCCAAACCGACAGTCACTGGACCATCACTAAGAGACACAAGAGGTAGGTCAAGAAGGAGTCGCATCTTGAAGGCTTGCTGCCTCATTAATGGATGGGTCTTATTTCTTACATGTATATCCACTGGCTTTATCCAGCCCTGGGCATGTGGGCTCTACTTGTTTTCATGGACAATTAAGACTCCTTTTATAATTAACGAAAAGCATTCAATGTTGGGTATGTGGCATTCCGTGAGGCTGTAAACAGTGGGCACCATTAAGGTGGACTTTACTACCTAAATTAGGCCAGACAAAAAGGAAGCGGGCAAAGGGGGCCACAGCCAGGACACAAGTAGGACATATATTAGACAGTGGATGTGTTTACCCCGTGTATAATAAAGCAAGATGAGAGAGATTTTTGCTGTTACTCTTAGGAAGCAAGATCAGTCTCAGAATGGGAAGAGGGCCACAGAAGGACCACACACACACTGTGCAGGGAGGAAGCACTGCCAATGTCCCAGGCATAGTCTCCCCTTCAGGAAGACACCAAGTGTATTAAAAAACCAGGCACCAGCGTATGATGGTTAATTCTGTGGCTTGACTATGGTGCCCAGTTGTTTGGTCAGACATTGTTATAGATGTTGCTTTGAAGGTATTTAGATGATTAGCATTTACAGTTGGGTTACTGAAGTAAAGCAGATTCCCCTCCATAATATAGGTGTGGTTCATCCAATCAGCTGAAGGCCTTCAGAGCAAAAACTGAAGTTTCCCAAAGAAGGAAGAAATTCTGTCTCAAAAGTCCAGTGTAGCTAGTGGAGCCGAGGGGGTCGCAAGATGGCGGCAGAGGTGGTGGAGCTTCATAAGCTGAAGCTTGCTGAACTAAAGCAGGAATGTCATGCTCGCGGTTTGGAGACCAAGGGAATAAAACAAGATCTCATCAACAGGCTCCAGGCATATCTTGAAGAGTATGCTGAAAAAGAGGCAAATGAAGAAGATGTACTGGGAGATGAAACAGAGGAAGAAGAATCAAAGCCCACAGAACTACCTGTCAAAGAGGAAGAACCCTCTGAAAAAACTGTTGATGTGACAGCAGAAAAGAAAGTGGTAAAAATTACATCTGAATTACCACAGACTGAGAGAATACAGAAGAGAGCTGAACGATTCAATGTACCTGTGAGCTTGGAGAGTAAGAAAGCTGCCCAGGGAGCTAGGTTTGGCATTTCTTCAGTTTCAACAAAAGGCCTGTCATCAGACACGAAGCCTATGACTAACACGGATAAGCTGAAGGAAAGAGCTCAAAGATTTGGTTTGAATGTCTCTTCAATCTCCAGAGAGTCTGAAGATGATGAGAAGCTAAAAAAGAGGAAAGAGCGATTTGGGATTGTCACAAGCTCAGCTGGAACTGGAACCACAGAAGATATAAAGGCAAAGAAGAGGGAAAAAGAAGAGCACTTTGGGAATGCCTGATAAAAAATTCTTGATGTTTTCTGATCTTTAATGGTTTCCATTGCTGATTCTTCTTGGTCACATACATACCTAAATGCACAGTCATGTATGTGCCTAGTTCCTGCCTCTCAATGAGGGAGCATGTACACCAGGAATTCCAGCAGCAGTTGGACTTACTGCTGTTTCAATATTAAGGTGTTGTGTTTTGGTTGTTTTTCGTTTTGTTTTTTAAATTTTGCTTGTTAATAATAATAAAAAGACTAAAAAAACAAAACAAAGTCCAGTGTAGAAATTCACTTTCCAGCTGTCTTACAAATTTCAGATTTGTCAGCCCAATTTCTTTAAAATCAACAAGCCAATCAATTTTTCTTTCTCTAGTGTGGTGCTGTGGGTTAGTGCGCCAGACTGCAAAGTCAGTTTGAACTGCAAAGTCAGCGGTTCAAGCTCACCAGCTGCTCCTCAGAAACCCTATACATGGGTAGCTATGGTTCAGCGTAGACTCGACAGCACTTAACAACAACAACATATGTATATATTCTATTGGTTCTGTTTCTCTACAGGACTCCGATACAAAGATCTAACTGCTCTGGAAAACTGCCCCCACCCAGTCAGGTTCAGTGGTGGGAACTGACACCCAGGGCTCCTCATTGCACATGGGTCCCAGAACCCTCTCCTTTTTGTGAGTCCTGAGAGCTCAGGCTGGGTTGGCAGCCTGGTCACAGGGAGGTGAGTTTAGGACACAATTTTATTTCTCAACACTGTATTTGCTGTCTTTATCAGTGGAAGTTGGTGTGCTAAATCAGAACCCCATTTGTGTGTGTCACAGAATTTCCTTTGTTTATTGTGCAAAGTTTGTATTTAAGGGAGAAAAATTTTTAAAGGAAAATCTCGGAAACCCTGTACAGGGTCGCTATGGGTCGGAACCGACTCGACGGCACTTAACAACAACAACAACAAACTAGGAGAAGCTGGCACCAGAAAGGAACTTCTGGGCCTTCACAATCCCCCATCTAAACTGTCTGATGGCTTTACCCACTGCCAAGCCTTAATATAGAGGGATTCTAGGACAAAATGCTATAGGTCCTTCTAGGCCAGCCACACACATGCCCAATGGTGAGTCTGAGCCCCTAGCCTGATTAGCGATTTTATGGAAGCTGACACAGCATCTTTGCTGCACGCTCACTATTAATTCAGCAAGCTGGCAGATACCCACCACCCTCCTGCACGCAGAAGCAGAGTCACGTGATCACAGGAAGAGCTGGAGTTGTTCTCCTAAAAATTCTTAAGTAACCTCTACCATAAATCCATCAAATGGAATCAAGTATGATTCTATTTTCATTTTAAGTCTGCGGAAGTGATTTTTCTACATTCACAATTCCCATGCTTTTTCCTGGGCATAACATCCGCCTAAAGGTCAGACAACGAGACACTCCACTGGGGAGTACCAGACTCTAGACCTCTGGAATCCATCAGAGCTGTATTCTTTGGAAGACAAGGAAGTGGAATTGTAAAGGCAGTTTCCAGAGGGGCCCAGCACTGTGCTTAAGTTACAAAAAAATCTAGGTGTGATAACCTCTCAGTTCCGGCTACTTAGAGTCACCTCTCCACCATTTGCAAAGGCTAGCCAGAGACCAAACTGGGTTTACTGGCAAAACCTGGAGAAGACCTGGGAGCAAGTAGCGAAGGAAGCCTTGAACAAGCAATGTGGGGGTTGCCTTTGTTCTTCAGGGTTCTGAAAGGAGAGGGAATAAATGGGGACCCTAGGCCTCGGGGAAAGGAAGGCAGGAGTTTTCCCATAAACCACATCCAAGTGGTCAGAAGAAGGAGGGGCTAGAGAGTGGGCAGCACTGTTATCAACAGGATCTTACAAATCCAAATATCTAGCCACTAGATTTGCAAGGCATGAATGCGTACTAAGGGGGACCAAAAAATAAAATAAGGTAAGCTGTTACAATGCTGACCACATAACAAGTACTCTGTGGAATTCCTGGGTGGTACAAACAATTAGGACACGTGGCTGCTAACTGAAAAGTTGGCAGTTTCCCTGTTCCATGAATATTTGGTGAATTAAAGGGTATACTTCCTGTTTTGCTGGGGAGAAAAAAGTAGTACCTTGAGAATCAAAAAGTAGAAAGAAAGAGTTCTTTTCTCAAACTTTACAGCACCATCATTATTGTATGTAAGCCTTTTACTTAATTCCCTAATTGTGCAGAATCTTATCAACAGCAACTTCAAAAAGTTTGACTTTTAAAAAAAAATTTAATAATCAGCCCTTACATGAGTCAAACTACCAGCATGTGTCCCAGGTGTGAAATACTACTAACCAGCTCCCAAGCTCTACAACTCACAGTACCCCCTTAAGGTAAGTTCTCTGGGGCAGCGGTTACCAGAACCAAACCCACAGGGGACATCCTGGATCCTCTAGAAAGACTGAGTACCAACACCTGATCCCTATAACAGGTCTAACATCTGGATGCCAGATGCGCAGGGCTAGACAAGAATCCTCATCCTCTGGCAGCGCTGGTTTTGTAGTAAAATGAGCAACCAGAGCCTGTTTCTATCACTTATGATACAGCAGCAGGCACCCCGCCTTCTGCAAGGAAGCATTTCTGATTCCAGTGCAGTTTTCCCCATGCGGAGATGAAAACCTTTGAGACCTAAATCTTCCCTTGCCTCACACTAGATTCCCATAGAAGCTTTTCACCAAACAGATAAAGCAAAAATTAAAAAAGGAAAATCATCATTCACGGCAGCACTGTGAGCATTCTAGCTCACATTCTTCTGGTCTTGTGTCTGTGCATTTACAATTTTATAATTTACAAGTAATAAATAGTCATGCTGTATATGCCAAGGACCAGGCAACTTCAAAGCTACGTGTACAGAAGTGTGTATGTGTACCCACAGAGGCTTTTTAACACTACTTCAAAGATAGTTTCTGTGATGTACTTTCTTGGACTTGAGTCCTGAATGCCTTACCATTCTATCCCAGATCTATGCCTATTTGTATGCGCAGGGTCCTCCCGGAGAGCATCTCTCTTACCTCTAAAGATCCGCTTCTGAGATATCAGGAGCTGACAGACCTCGGCAGAGGACCTGCATGAGTTGACACATCTCTCTATTCTATCCGCCAGGTCAAACAGTGTCACATTGGAAGCCAGAGAAAAAGTGGTTTGCAGCGAGATCACCACCATGCTGGACTCCCTATGGGTGAAGTTTGTAGGTTTTCAGTTGTGCAAAATGACAGGGCATTTAGAAAATCCCCGTCATCTCGATGGTGTGGAATGGCCTCAGCATTGGGTTATCCAGTCGCTTGGTCAAAATAGGGCCCAGTTTGTTGTTATCACCCATGTTAGAATATCCTTCCCTTTCTATGGACTGATTCACAAGCAAATATAATTGTGCTACTTACCTAGAAGCATGAACTGTGGATCGGGTATAACCAGGTAACGTTGAAAAACACATATTTAACTGCAAGGAAGAACAGGTTTGTTGTTAACTGTGAATTAGGCAAAAGCCTTGGACCTAGAACCAATTTCCTATTTTTATAACAAAATAGGCATTTTCCAGCCATCAAGTTGCCAGCAGGCAGCTTTACAAAAAAAGTGGTATCCCTTTTTTGTTTCCTTTTACATGCCTTTCTGCTCCTTTTCTGTTGTTGCATGAGTACAAAGGGAGAGAAGCAGATAGTAAATCAGTGGGGGAAAATCTTGGCAGGAAATGATACTCAGAAGGGAGGCACCCTTGGATGAAAAACATCTTCAAAGGAGTAGATTCTCTTCTAAGACCCAGAATTTCAAAAAGCTCAGATGCAACTGTTTATTTAGACTTTGCATAGTGAATGAGCTTTATTGAAAAGACTTGTGTCCTCTCAGTTAACCCAGGTCTGGCGAACCCTACATCGACCCCTCATAATCTACAATGAGTTGAGCTAACTCAAAGATAGGTCTTCTTCAAAAAAGGAAATTACATTACGTGGGTCAAGAGCCCTTTTGTTGTGAGCAAATTAAGAATGACTCTCTCTGCCTTCAGAGAGAGCAGAAAATCACTTTACAGCATAAAGTATCGTGCCGGTTTCTATACTTCACCCCACTACAGAGGCTGGGGAATCCTTGTATGGAGCAGAGGGTCTCCATATCTTGTACAAGGTAGACCCACCTGTCTTCAAAGCTCGACAGATTCTAACAGGAGATATTATCAAACTCTTTCTGGCTTTGTATCCTGATATACTGATTTGTATTCTGAAATACTATTATTACAGTAAAAGTTGTGAGAGCTAGAACCTGTGTAAGGCAGACATTTGTCAGAGAAAAAAAACAAATATTTTCCACTAATAGAGATAAATAAAAACAGTGATAAGATTGCACCCTGTCAGAGGCAGAACATTCTAGAAACCTGGAAAAACAAGGCCGTTCCAATAAGTTCCAGTTTGCACAGTTTTCACTGCATTATTTTAACTCTCCCTCCCCTCCCCTGCTCTTGGGAAAGGCCATTTACAAGTAGTTTCCCCAGTCACTGCCTAAATCTCCACTATTTCTTGGGGGTGGGAAGGTCACATCACCAATAAAGTATTTGTTAAAACTGGGTACAAATTAACAATGCAGATAACTAGCTTTGTACCTTGTAGTCTTAAGGACTGTGCCTCTGCACAGGGTCCTAAAGCCCTGTACTACCTTAGAAGGAACAGGGGGAGATGATCCAATAAGCAAGGTAAGCATGGGCTTACTTATGCTTATTTACTAATCCACAGTGAAACTGAAACTGTCCATTAAGTGAAAAGCATGAGAAATTGTTCACTACAGATTAGTAAACACAAGCCCATGTTTACTCTTCCCCTGTCAGGGACTGTAAATTTGAAAAGTAACTTTAATTCTGTAGGAAAGTACTGTAGGGCTCAGGGAGAGACAAATGCCAGACATTCCTAGAAGCAGCATCTTAGATGCGGTGAAACAACTGTGATTCTGTAATGACAGATGAGTAAATAGTAACCAGTCCCCCCATGCTTGTCTTGTTTATTGGGTAATCTGACACTGAGAAGGAAGGATCTACCTACACAGAGCACAACCAAGCAGATGCACTGGAAAGCCCACCACGTACAGCATTAGAAGATACATGCTTAAAATGAAACTCGTGTGTGAACTCAGGAATTGTCACTAACATTCCGGAGTTTCCAGTTTTCTCAACTGTAAAAGAGTTTGATGTCTCCTCTTACAAGAGTGAGAAGCTGGCATAGTGACTACCATAAAGTACATGCTCAGTAGACAGAGAAACAGAATTTGAACATATATTTTGTATTAATAAAACCCATAGTTAACAATATCCTCCTATAATTCTTCGCTAGTACACCAACTCTTTTCGAGATGAACAAGTAAACATGAAATCAGAAATCAGTTCATCTCTAAAACTTATTTTAATGGAAAATTTCAATTTTCTGAATATGAAATTCTTAGACTCAGGTAGCAGTTGAGCAGAATTTATTGATTTGAGCTTCATTTTCTTCTCTTTTCTCTCAGAAAACAGGCAAAAAGGGAAACAAGAATCAAAGGACCCTATGTAATTAATCTATGCAAGGAATCCTCACACCCAGGATAATCAGGATTAACTATCACTCCTTTGGCATTCCCTGAAGGAAAAAGAGAGTTGTTCTCAACCTCCAAACCACAGAGAAAAAGTATCACACAGCATGTCAACTGCAGATGCGCTATTAGGATTTTCTGGGTCCTTCCTAGGAGCCTTGGTGACTTATCAGTTGCTCGACTACTACCAAAAGGTTGGCAGTTTGAACCCACGAACTGCATGATGGGAGAAAGATTACAGCTCTGGAAACCCAATGGAGCAGTTCTACTCTGTCTATAGGGTTGCTTTGAGTCAGAGTGGGTTTGGTTTGTTTGGTTTTCCTCTCCCTAACAGGACACCTGGTGTGGTGCTGTAGGATAGCACTGGATTGCAAACTGCAGAGTCAGCAGTTCAAACCCCCAGCTGCTCCTCGGAAACCCTGTACAGAGTCGCTATGAGTCGGAACCGACTCCATGGCACTTAACAACAACAGCTGCAGCAGCTCATTAGCGTATGTCACCTGTATGTCTCTAGCAACAAATTTCTACAGGAAAAAGAAACACCAGTGTACATGTAAAAATCAACAAACGGAACACACGGAAGAAACGCATCTACTGGGCTCCACTAGTTCTCAATACTCCTTTTTTGTTTTTTGTTGTTGTTAAGGGCCGTCAAGTCAATTCCAACCCACATCGACCCTGTAAAGGGTTTCTGATGAGCTCGAACCACCGACCTTGAGGTTCAAATTGGCTTTGCAGTTCAGCTCATTAACTCACAGCACCACACCAGGACTCACTCCATGTTTGTTTTTGAGAGACTCTATTTTACCAGGAAGTTTATCTTCCATCTATGATTGATACAAACAGCTCAGGAGATATAGTTCATCCCTAGGAGGTTGTCAATTCTAAATAAAAGCTGTGAACACAAAATTAGCCCAGTAAACACAAAATTAGTACAACTAATTTTGAATTCTTTTCATTTTTAATTCCAGAAACTTACCGTTTTGGTGATCTCGTTTCCAACTTCATGTAGGGCTGAATGGCTTTCCACAGTGGTATTGAGAAAAGTTTTCTTTAATTTAAACTCTGACACAAAGGTTCTAACTGAAAATGAAAACATAACCTGTTAGAACACATGTTGGATTGACCTACTCAAGGAAGCTATGTATTTGTAAATCTCTGGACTGTCCATCTTTCATCCAGATTGACCTCATGGAACATAGCTGTGCATTTCTTTCTCTTTGAGGATGGAGACAGTCTCTCCCTCTTCTAGGTTCCCTTTCTAACAGGAGTACGCATCTACTGGACTGAACTAAAGGCTTTGGTTGAGATACTCCAAGAAGTGGCCTTCCATATTACAAATGCATAATAAAGCTGACAAAGAATAAGGAGTTGGTCTAACTGTAATTCGAGAAGAGGAAGATACAGGGTTAGATACAAAAATGTTTGTTGAGCCTGCCAAAACTTTAGCAGAAGGCTCTGGCTCTCTGAGATCCTTTGCCAAGTTTCCCCACAACTTCAAAGGACTACTTCAGTTTTCTCATTAAAGCTATCTCCATCCCTCTTGCTCAGAGGAAATAATTTCCAAGTGCCAAAGGTAGCATTCAAATTCACGTGTGTTCATTCAAAGCTCTTTTTTGCCCACCACATCCTCTGTCACAGAGGCAGCAGAGGACGACCAAGAAAATACAGAGAAAGGTATCAGACATCTGTAGTGGTCCCCCATTCCAGGGGTTGCTAGACTCCATGATCACAAGGCACATAATGAAAATAACTCTAAGTGATGATGTTGTGGGTTCAGCAATCAAAGAAAACAGCCCTGTTTTCAAGGCCCATTTCACTCAAAGTAAAATTGTAGTTAACACCAATTTGTGTTGATTGGGCCTGAGGGTAATGAGACTTGTAAATGGGCAAGCAAGGAAACAATGAGTACAGCCTGCTTTATAGCTAGTTCTTATCTCCCTTTATATTAAATTCTCATCTTTCCCTATGGAGGGAGGGAAGGACTCTGCCTCCCTACCTCCCCCACCCCCAAAAAGCCACAAACTAGAAGTGCCCCTGAAGCTATTCTTCACAGAAAGCTTGCATGCTAAATTATGAAAAAGGCCTACAATGAGCCAGGGAAAACATTTAATATCTTATACTTAGTGTCTAAAGCCCTTAATTCTTATTTAACATCTTTTTGCTTGTTCTACAGTTCAGTGAAGCCAGCTGCTTGGGACTCTTTTTGGAGCAGCAGGGAGCTCTTTGAAAACATTCTTGGCCAAATGAAAGCATTTCAGCAGGCTCTAATTTGCATGTTCCTCTGATGTTTATGAACAATGAAGCCAAATGACTTGAAAAGGGAAAGATGATTGTTAACACAATAGGGTTGCTCTCCTCCGGATCCATACTACCTGTGAGACACTCAACACACAGGCTTCCAGAACAGTTACCCCATTCCTTTCCTTCAGATCTTCTAAGGTCATGCATGTCAAGGTTAATACCCGGACTTTTGCACACACTGCAACCCCCCAAAACTATTACCCTGAGATCAGTCTTTAAATCTTGAACAAAAATATTCTGATGTCTTCTTTAGACCAATCAGTATCTTAATTAGTAAAGAATTTTGGGATCATAACAAATTATGGATAACACTGCAAGAAATTAGAATTCAAGAATACTTAATAGTGCTCATGAAGAGCATGTACATTGAACAAAAAGCAGTCGTTTCAACAGAACACGGGGATACTGCATGGTTTAAAATCAGGAAAGCTGTGTGTCAGGGCTGTATCCTGTCACCATATTTATTCTATCTGTATGCTGAGCAAATATGGGAAGTTGGACTATATGAAGTAGAGCACAGAATCAAGGATTGGAGAAAGGCTCATTAACAACCTTACTTGTTGAAAGGAAGCACTTAATGATGAAGACCAAAGAATACAGCCTTTAGTATGAAATACGCCTCAACATAAGAAAGCAAAAATCCTCACAACTGGACCAATAAGCAACATCATGAAAATTAGAGAAAACAATGAAGTTGTTAAGGTACTTGGATCCACAATTAATGCCCATGGAAGCAGAAGTCAAGAAACCAAATGACATGTTACATTGGGAAAATCTGCTGCAAAATGCTTCTTTAATGTTAGAAAGCAAAGATGTCACTTTGAGAACTAAGGTGTGCCTGACCCAAGTCATGGTATATTCAATCACCTCATATGCATTAAAAGTATCATGGACTGCCAGAAGAACAAACAAATCTATGTTGGAAGAAGTACAGTCATAATGTTACTTAAAACCAGGGTGTCCAGACTTTGTCTCTCATATTTCAGACATGTTATCAGGAGGGACCAGTCCCTGGAAAAGGGTATCATACTTGGTAAAGTGGACAGTCAGCAAAAAACAGCAAGACTCCTCAATGAGATGGACTGGCATAGTGGCAGTAGCAATGCACTCAAGCTTAACAACAATTGTAAGGATGCCACAGAACAGGGCAGTGTTTTGTTGTGCATAGGGTCGGGTTGACAGCACCGAACAACAATATATGCATTCAAAAACTTTAAGATGAGTAAGAAAAATCAAAGAATTGAAGCCTTTGAATTACGATGTTGGTGAAGACTACTGGATATAGCATGGATTACCAGAAGAACAAGTAAATCTGTATCGGAAGAAGTGCAGCCAGAATGTTCCTTAGATGGAAGGATGATGATACTTTGTCTCACTTTGGACATGTTATTAGGAAGGACCAATCAGTGGAGAAGGGCATCATACTTATTAAAGTAGAGGGTCTGTAAAAAAAAAGAAGACTCAAAAAGATGGATTAATACAGTGGCTGCAAGAATAGGATCAAGCATGGCAATGTTTGTGAGGATGGCACAGGAGTGGAACTGACTCGAGAGCCCCTAACAACAATGATAAACATTGAGCATCATGCTCTTTTAAGAGCTATCTATATGAGATCAAGGAGTCTTGGTGGCACAGTGGGCTGCTAACCCACCAGCTAGCTGCTCCATTGGAGAAAGATGAACATACCTACTCCAGTAAAGATTTACAGTTCTGGAAATCCTAGGAAGCAGTTGTACTCTGTCCTACAGGATCACGATGAGTCAGGACTGACTCAACAGTAGTGGCTTGGTTTGGTTTTTGGGGGGGCTCAAATCGAAAACAGAAACTTGAAATATTAGATAGGAAACTTAGGGGCCGTGGATTTATGTTAATGAGGGAGAAACCATTTCAGAGGATGAGAAGGTTTGCACAATTTGAAGACTATAATCAATGTCACTGAATTGTACATACAAAAATTGTAATTCAATAATTTAGGCTTATGTTGTGCTATGTGTGCTGTGGTACTGTAGGATAAGTACTAACTGCAAGATCAACAGATCAAACTCACCAGTTGCACTTCAGAAACCCTATACAGAGTCACTATGAGTCAGAACAGGCTCAATGGCACTTAACAACAATATGTGTAGAATAACAAAATAATTTTTAAAGAAAATTTAAAACCAAAACAAAGCACAGAAATGTACACAATGTGAATGTTGAGAACACAGATCCCATCTGAATCATGAGATACGATGGCTCCCAGTAAAAGTGGCCTCGGATTTCATATGGATACAAACAGCATTATACAGTTTCCTTTCTAACCCCTTCATGCCTACAGTTATATCATCTGACTTGAAGGTGAATTTTTACTTCGAATTTAATTGCTGGTGTCCATAAGTTATCTAAAATGATTTTTAAAAAAGAAGTATAATAATTATTTTGTTTACAGTAGATTATTGTTTTTACTGTTGGCCCAAGACATTAAAGAATAATTTTAAATGACACCACATATCAGGAGAGCTCTTTACCATTTTAAAAGCTTGCTCAGACATTTATTTGTTCCTCAAAATAACCCTGAGTGAAGCAGAGCAGATGGCATTCTGACTTCACAGGTGAGGATACTGAGACTTAGGGGTCAGGTGCTGTAGGTGGGGTGCCTAGAGCTGGAAGTTAGACACTGAATCCTAAGCATCTGTAACTTTCCATGCTGTTTCAAAACACAATCATACCCATCACCTCCACTCTTGAATGCACCTAAAATTGTTGGTGTTGTAGATACATGGATAAGTTATCCAATTGCAGATAAATTACTAGAAAAAGAAGAATCCTTGATTTTGACTGATGATTCAATTTCTAGATTTTTCTTTCTTTTAATAATGCTTTGACTCAATCCTTATTTTTAATCAGCTTTCAAAATTCTAGTTATTTTAGTAGTGTTCCAACCTTCTTAAACAAGTCTGATGGTCCTCTTAGTCCTACAGGTAAAGGCATTCACACAAATAATACTTTGAAAGGACAGAGACATTTGCTTTTTTGAAAAATATTTACTGAGCATATTTTTCTTTTCTTTTTAAATAACCTATTTAAAAGTTTTATTTACTATTTAGTGCTTGCAAAGAGAAGATGTAGCATCATTGTAAATTACGAAGCACAATGATAATAGTCATGTAAGAGCCATGTCAATTCACCATCTAATTTTGGCCTAAACATTACCATAGTTTCAAAGCCCCACTGTGTTCCTGATAGATTCCAATCCCTTGCCTCTCTCTCTCTACGGTTGCTATTCTGTTTATTATGTTCAGTCTTCAAAAAGGAAAATCTGTTTTTACCAAAGATACAGAGTTGGAATTAACTTGACAGCAAATGGCTTTTTATCATCAAGTTGACGCTGACTCATGACAACCACGTACGTCAGAGTAGGACTGTGCCCATAGTGTTTTTTTCCTCTTCTTCAAAAAAAGATTTATTTTTATTGAGCAAACTAAAAGTTGTGTCTAAAGTTTCATACTTGGAAATTTAAAATGGTTCAAATATGAGTCACTTCATTTGCCAATTTCCTCATCCAGCTTAGATAGCTCTGTGTTTCATTCCTAATTTCTACAATGAGTTATGTAGTGAACTCAACACTTTCACAAGGATGTACGTAAAAAGATCATAGAATTCATGCATTATCATACAGTAGAAAGAAGTGTGGGCTGGGAATGATGACTCTTATCAGTCAATTGTCTAAGCTTAGCCCCTTAGCACTGTCTCAGAGCTTTAGTTTTCCTTTGTTTCGTTTGTTTGTTTGCTTGCTTTTTGACCCGCAAAATGGAGACTATACTTAAAATCAACTAAGCTTCATGAAATTACAAATTAGAGAACAAAGCATGATGAATTATATGCTACAATTACAGTAGCAATTCTATAAAATCATATCTACCTATAGATGAGAATGTGAAGATCAACTTTATAAATGAAAAGAGTGTGTGAAATGGTAGGGCAATTAGGATTTTAATCTTTTTTTTCTCCCTATAATATTTCTTTCCCCTGTGTGATTAGAATATTCTTTTGATAATGTTTTTCCTAATGGCAGAATGGTTAAACAATTAATGTAATGCACGAAGGATGGCATATTCCGAAGTCATTAAGACCTTCGTGCAACATTTTGCCCATAACATGAGGAAATGTTTCCGATATAAAGTCTGTACATACACCTTATGATTTCAACAATGTAAAAACATAATGCATGCTAAAAAACATGGCAAATGCTTTATCTTTGAGTAGGTGAATCATAGGAAATGTGTTTTCCACTTCTTTCTCTGTTCTATAAGCTTAAGCTTAGACAAATATGGATTTTGATTAAGGAAAAAAATAGATGTTGTTTTGTAAAATACATTGTGGAACAGAATAAATTTCAACATAGATTAACTCTTACCCAAACTGCATATTCCTTTTTCCAACTGGTACCCAACTGGGCATTTACAGGTGAAAGATCCCTGAGTATTGTTGCAGGTGGCCAGGGGTGGGCAGGGGTTGGAAAGGCATTCATTCACATCTGTGGAGGAGAGGAAATCAGACCATACAGAATCTGTGGCAGACAGTGCAATCATAATCCAGCACCGTAAGTACTTACTAAGGGTCAAATGGTGCAATGGGGCCATAGAGAGAAGTAAGACTCGTCTTCAAGAGGCTGATAGCCTATTAATGGTAGAGGCAGCCATGTAAATCCCTAACTATAAATACCCCCTGCTGTTTAGGCAATTCTGGCTCACAGTGACCCTAGAGGACAGAGTAGAACTGCTTCATAGGATTGCCAAGGCTGTCAGTCTTCACAGAAGCAGACTGCCTTACTTTCCTCCCTCAGAGTGACTAGTGGGTTCAATCCACCTATTCAATTAGCACCTGAGAGTTCCACCAGTATGCCACCAGAGCTCGGTAACTATAAATACATGGCAGGATTGGGAAGTACAGGGAAAGGAACCAATTTTGATGGAGGGTGAGAATTAAATATTATTTAAATGACTCCTGGTATGACACTTTAGGATTAGCACTGAACTGTGAGTCACAAGGTCAGCAGTTCAAACCTACTAGCTGCTCCTTGGAAACCCTATACAAGGTCGCTATAAGTCAGAACCGATTTGAAGGCACTTAACAACAACAGGTAACACCTAGACTAAGACTGGCAGGAGTTTAATAAGCAGGGGGAAGTGGCATTGTAGGCTGAGGCACCTGCACAGTAAATGCCAAGGGAAGGATAGCATAGGGGTCTTCACGAGTGGCAGGTGATCCATTGTGGCTAGAGTATAGGGAGCCCACAAAATAAAGTCAGATCAGTGGGGCTATCAGCACACCTACGATGTCTGATGTTAACCTGCAGAGAACTCAGATCCATGCTAAAATCTCAGTGGAGAAAATCTTATTTCTCTACATTTTGGAGGGAAATGGAGCTTGCTTACTATCTCAGTGTGATATTAGAGTGGAGACCACTGGACTAGACTTTTCTTCTTACCCACACTGCAGTCATCCCCTCGCCAGGAAGGCGAGCACATACACCGATACCCACGACTGGTAGCGTCAGCGATGCAGCTCCCATCATGAAGACAAGGGTTCATGGCACAGCTATCAACTAAAACCACATTCCAGGAATAAAGCCATTAATCACACAGGAAATATAAAGGCAGCTCTAGGTAAATATTTAATTCTCCCAGCTAATGTTTGCTTCTCGCTTATTTCTGTTTACTCACCCTGAAAGGCCACACTCCTAGAATACGATGGTCCCCTGAGAGGTACAGAGGGCTGTGCAGTGGCCTGCCCACGGGTACTAGTTAATGTACACATATAAATCTGAGACCTCCGGATCCCTGGATATGAGGCTGGGTTCCTATCTAAATGCTGCTCACAAGTCACTCAATTCAAGACTCACAATCATACTACCTTTGTGATACTCAGGAAACTTACTTGAATCAAACATGTCAAGTGGGAAAAGCATTCCTAACCAATACATCCTCTTGACTGCATAGGACTTTATCAAAACCACAGTATCCACAAATTTCATATTTAACTGGGCTTCCACACATTGTTTTGCTCTCTATATATGGCAGTGGCATGCTCTAAAGGCCAAATCAAACCAAACCCACTGCCATCAAGACATTTCTGACTCATAGCACAGAGTACTATAGGACACAGTAGAACCGCTCTGAGATTTCCAGATGGTAAATCTTTATGGAATGCGCTAGGGGCCTCTTAATAAAGGTTTCTGATACTTAGAAAAACTGAAATCCACAGCGTAACTCCATTGTCTGCAAGAAGCAAATCAGTGGTGGCAGGAACAATGCAATCAAGAACTCTAACTCCAAAACAATAACTTTAAAAAACAAAAGGTTAGATTGGTTGAGTGTGAAACTGATGATCTGCTCTGTAAACTATCACTCAATTCACAATAAAAGCTTTAAAAACCCCCCCACCAAAACCAAATGGCTAAATCTAAAGGGGGCATTGCCATCCTTCATTGCTATCTTCACTATGACCTGAAAGCACTTGTATACATAGGAATGCTGCCACAGGACTGTGGTCCCAGTCAGCAATTACGCTAATACTCCCCCATAGTTATCCTTGTCATGACTGTGAATTAGGTTCCCTCACTCTCGTTAAAGGGTATTTCTGAAGTATGTTCTGCTATTGGAATATATTTGGCCTTTGGAAACGAAGCCTCATATGCTCTGAAGTAGGCTTCCAAATTTCCCTAGAGAATGATCCACCTTTCCTTTTCTAGAGATCTTGGATTACTGGTACAAAGGGGGCACTAATGCTTCATGTATTGTGGGGCTGGTGACAGCGGTGGTTTGTGACCCACCCCCTAATCCTGCAGGCTGATACTAGTGGACTCGTGAGACTCCAATAACTGAGCCCATGCTCTAGCTCCTTTTTTTTATCCTCCTGGTCTGAACAAGCCAAAAGAATAATTTTGAACATGACAACAAAAGATTTTATCATTCTACTTTCTTCCTTCTTTTTCTTAAACGTTCAAGAATCATTTGGATGACTTTTATTTGCCTCACACCAGCTACTTTACCATGAATATAAGGGTAACCTCAAGCACTATGTATAGGAGGAGCCTGTCTTGGAGTCACGATGGGGGATCCTACTGACAGACTCAACAGCTCTGATCTGGGAGCAGGCAGACTCATTCCGTGTCGCAGACAGACCATGTAAAGCTTCTTTACTTCAGTCTCCCCACACTCTGACCTTGGAAGAGTGAAAGTCATGCTTGAAAGCTCTTGCAATTATAAAGCATTAAAAGCTACAACTGCGCTATCTGCTACTGTCACATAAGCCAATGCATCCTAGCCTCTTCCTTCAGGAAGAATTATGGAACTCCGGGGTGAGAACATTAGGCCCACCGTAACATTATTTCATGGTTTAAGTGCTTCAACAGGAAGCATTTAGATCACAAAGCAGACATGTGCTACTTCAAATACATTTCTACACATTCACATGCATCTCAAGCCCTGTACAGCTCTCAGTGCTTGATGGAGCTTCCCAGTCAATGTGTGTTTGTGAGACTAAGTTTTACCTGAGGTTGGAGATGACAGTGATGTTGATGACTGTGTGCTGCCCTGAGCAAGGAATGTGGTAGATTTAGGAGTCAATACTTGAGCAGTAGAAACATCTGTGGTTTTGGGAGACGGAGATGCTCTGGAGAAATGTGAAGCTGGGCTGTGTTCTTCTGTAATGCCAAGTCTTGTGGCCAATTCTCTGGCTGTACTGGTGGGTGCACTGGTCAGAGGGACCAATCTGGTGGTAGCAGCTACATGAACTTGGGTCCTTTTGGTGGTGACAGCATCCTGTGTTGAGATTTGTGGCACTAGGATCTCAGGACTGGTTGGTAAGACCTGTTTCCTGGTTGTTGTCTGTACTGTTGTGGTACCACCCATCAGCATGACTGTGCTTGATGGGAGGCTGACCGTGGTCACGGGAGGATGAGATGTCTCGAGAGTAGTGGCTCTCAGAGCTGGAGGCATCTGAGCGAAGCTGGTGCTCATGGCTGGAAGGGTTTGCTCAGTAGAGGACTCTGTTAAGGCTGGAGGCAAAGGGACTCCTGAAGGAGAACTCATCGTTACAGCTTCAGCAGACGGTGTAGGCAAAGACACTTGGCTTGGTGACTTTGGCTCTATAATGATTTTCTGGTTTGGGTCACTCTGATTCTTAGGATCTTCTGTTTGACTATTATGGAACATTGCCTTGGATGTTGTCACTGCCCATGCCCTAACTGAAATCCCAGAAGTCTCCCTTACCCTGGGCAGGACTGGAGTAGAAGAGGAATGTGATAAACTTGTTTGTGAGCTAGAAGATGAGGCAGCGGTAGACGCCACCAAGGATATTGGTAAAGGTGATGGTGAGGAAGACAAAGACGGACTCGAGGTAGGCGTCAGTAGAGGAGCAGAGGTGCCAGTTGGTGGTAGGGTTGATGACAGCAATTGATGGGACTGTGACACTGAGGGCAGAGGCAAAGGGGGCTCTGATGGAGAAGATGAGTTATCAGCAGATCCAGCATTCAGGTCCAAAAGAACTAAAGTGTTTGGCACATTAATGGTGGGTGTGTAGGATGGAGGGTTGGGAGTACGCATAACTAGTGATTCAGTGGAAGGCTGAGCAAATCCCCCTTCATACGATGAAGCATTACTTCTTTCAGTCTGAGCATGAGAAGAGGAAGAATATTCTAAATGTGAAGAGTTGGAGACTTCGTTAGAAGAGGTTGAGCTCTTCCTTACATCCGAGGATGAACTGTTGTCTGTAATGGATAGTAATGCCCGCTCTCCTTTGGTGAAAGTAGATGAAATATAGGTGTGGTCTGTGTGGTCTCTGGAAGTCCTCTGGTCAGTATCTGTGCTGCTCACTTGATCGTAACTAATCCCAGTGACTGTAATGGGAAAAACCAAAGTTAGATCAACTATGCAAGTAAGAAACATAAAACAGAGAGATATTTCAATACCTTGTCTATGAATATAAGTAAGGTGAAACACTTCCTTGAGGGTTGGTTTTCAATGGCAAGCACTCTGATTAGGGACAGTATGGGAAGGCAGACCTGTCAATGTCTGTGCTGAGTATATTTACTCCTGTGAGGATCAGCAGCGGCAACAATGGAAACAAAAATAAAAGAGAAGTGGGGGCTAGAAGCCTAAGAATAGGGAATAGGTCCAAATTCCTTCCATATGCCTTTTTTTTTTTTTTAATCAAAGCAAATTGGTATCAGAAAATCTCATAAGATCCCCAAATAGAACAACTGTTATGTCTAAATGGGAAAAAGAAACTGTCCCAACTTTCCATTATGCATGACAAGATTATTTCTTTCCCAAGAGATTGGTTGCAGCCACAAAGTGGCTGGTCTTCTATATTTTAAGCCTTCTGACAAACACCATCCCAAATGCCTGTATGTATGTGTGTGCGTATGTGATGTGGGGAGGAACAGGAGAGAAGGGGGCTGAGGAGGGCTGTTCATCTTCCTAATGGAAGAGAAACTACAAAGTTCTCTTTATAAAGATCCTGTAAGGTACTTTCTGAAGTCCCGGTGTGGCATGTAGGATAAGCACTAGACTGCAGGGTCAGTATGAACTGCAAGGTGGGTGGTTCAAACTCAACTAGTTGCTCCTCGGAAACCTTGTACAGGATAGGTATGAGTCAGAACCCACTCGATGGCACTTAACAACAACAAAAGTACCTTCTGGGTTGACAGAAAACTTAATCATTCTAGGACTACGAGTAAATTGACAGACAGACTGCAGGAATGTGGGAAGAGATATTCTGCTGCCTGCACATTACCTCCAAGGGATCGCTGTGAGGCAGCCAGTGAACCTGAGATGGTATCTGTGTTCTCGGTCATGCCCAGGTGCTGAGTGGCACTCTCGGTTTCTCTGAGCACTGAGGCAGAGCTCCCTGCCTCCCCAGAAGTTGTGCTTCCATTGGTGAGAGATCGCAGGATCCGCTCTCCGCTTCCAGTGAAAGTAGCTGAAGTGTGTGGGCTCTGAAGAGGAGAACCGGAAACCTTTTCCAATGAACCTGAACTCCTTCTCAGCTCACGACTGTCTTCAATGGCTAAAAGAAGATTGAAAAAAGAATAATACAGGGATTGGTGATGTTGTCAGCGGCTAGTGAGTTGGCTTCTGATTCATGGGAAGCACACAAACAGCAGAACAGAACACTGTGTGGTCTCCACGGTTCCCACTGGCTGGTTTTCAGAAGTAGACCACCAGGCCTGTCTTCCAAGATGGACTTTTTATGGAGCCTCTACTGATTCTTGTTCATCATTATAGCAACACACAAGCCTCCACTGACAAACAGGTGGTGGCTGTGCATGGGGCCCACTGGTCAGGAATGAAACCCAGGTTTCCTGCATGGAAGACAAGAATTCTGCTATGGAACCACCACTGTACCGGAATATAGGAAGAGAGCAACACTACTGGACAGGAAATTGAGTCTCAGAAATAAGCCCTACTTCCTGAACTATGAGAGTCAAAACACTTCTCTATGAGTGGTTGATCTTGCAGCCCAGGAGTGGAGGACCCTGGGACCATCAAGGAAGAAGAGTAGAGGGTGGGACCCTATCCAGAGAAGCAGCGACGCCATGAGATGGAGGCAGAGATGATGGAGGCAGAAAGATGGGGACTGTAGACTCACGGTGGGAGAGGGGTTGTGTGCTGGCGGCTGGGGGACAGGCTTGTAGGGTGTACCCTTTGGTTTTTTGAGTGGTTATATATTCTTGAATACTTCGGTGTACATCCAAAAAAAAAAAAAAAAAAACCCCAGAGGGAATGGGAATGGAAGCAAATGCTGTTGAATGATGATGCATGGAGGGCATTGAAATCATTTCAATGAAATGAAATATGATAGGATGAATGTAATGCTAATGCTCTCCCACATAAACTATTACTCAACTCACAATAAAAACTTAAAAAACAAAACAACAAAAACCACTTCCCTATGCTATCCCAGGGTCTTTATGGGAAAACCAAGTACGTGTTGTTCTTACAAACATGTAGCAGTGACTGAAACCTCAAGGGGAACTATGGATCGGCATATCTGTTCAGGGAACTTGAATTTATGGGACAGTTTATTAATTACCTCAGTGAACAGGATCAATGCCGTATTTCTGCTTAGTGATAGATAATAAATAGAGTTTATGTCAGGAAAATTGGTGGTGGTGGCAAGGGAGGTGAGTGGTGGGTAAAAGACTAACGACCTTATTAAGGCTTCAGGTACTCTAAGAAGGCTCAGGAGGGAGACCCTTGGTACTCAGAAGGCTCTCCTGGTAAGACCTACAACTCATGAATTAACATGAGGCCTCTCATTCTACAGCGTCTTATATCTTTGCCTTAACATATCAGTGAGAAGTGGTATTGTAGTTGGGGGTTCAAGGTCTTTTTTTATTATTTACAATACACATGAATCTATATCCTTTTCTTCTTTTTGGGGGTGCATTTTAAGCTAAAAAAAAAAAGGAGCCCTGGTAGCACTGTGGGTTACGAGTTGGGCTGCTAACTGCAAGGTCAGCAGTTCGAATCAACCAGATTAGGCTTTTTCTGCTCCTGTAAAGACTAAGAAACCCTATACAGGGTTGCTATGAATTATAACTGACTTTACACACAACCACCACCATCAAGCTTAAAGAATCTTAGACTGAAAAGAGATCATAGATGATCAAATCAAATAAACCCCTTGTTTCAGACACGAGGAAAACAGAGCTACATACTTCACAATCTGGCTCTGAGAAAACAAGCTCTTTTCTAGACTCTTATTCCCATTCCTAGCCCTTAACATCCTATGGGCACACCTTGATAGATGTAAAGATGAGTCTCAGGTAAAAACCTGACAGGTATGAATTCACTGATAGGCAGGAATGAGAGTGGGGACAGGGAGTAGCACCGAGACAGCCAAGGAAGAGGGGCTCACCAGACCTAGACAAGTCAACCAGGGGAGGCTGAAGAGCTCAGGACAACTGAGCGCAATTTCTCCAGTTAAAGAGCAAAAAGGTCTTGGTTCTGGGAAATTAAACCCAGGCAAACAGCCATGTTATACAGACTTAACCAAGTGGAGAGTCATACCCTGAAGCAGGAGCTATATCTGAAGCCAAAAAAGGAACAAACTGTGGACACTAAATTGTATTCCAGCTTAGACCGATTCTGAGAAAGCAAGATACAGCACTGTTAACCCACCATGAGAAGTTTCAGGATTGTGGCTGTTACTTATCTAGGTCTTTATAATGGAGCTCTAAGATCGGCTCATACTGAAATCACATTTTCCAGACTAACCAACTGAGCATGAACTGCAGAGAGAAAGAGAACTAAAGAGATATACACAGGGAAAGGTCAAACAACACAAGGTCTTGGTCTGAGAAGCTAAAATTCTGAGCCCCATAATTGTTGTCGTTGATAAGTGCCTTCCAGTTGGCTTAGACTCATAGCGACCCTGTATAGGATTTCTGAGGAGCAACTTGGTGGATTTAAACTGCCAACGTTGCAGTTCAAACCGGCCTTGTGGTCCAGTACATTGTCCTACAGTGCCATACTAGGACTTTACAATGTGAGGGGGGAAAAATGATTCTTTTTGTTTAGGAGACAGAGGCTGTGTTTTCCATGCACAGACAGAGAAGCGCATAAATATCCTCCACCCATGTGTGGTCATTCTTTCATGATAAGCACATGCTTTTCCACTTCATGAGAGTGATAACAAATGCTAATTTCCTCATCAATTAGGACTCTCACATGTGGGAAATGGAGCTATTATTATTAGTGATGGAAAAGTACGAATTTAAGCCTGTGATAAGCCTAAATGATAAGTTAATGGATTTTTGCTTTAATCAACATATGCTTACATTGATAAGGCTGCTTAGAATTGTTTTTTCCTAATTGCTTTATATAAACATATGATCAAAAGAAACATTACAGTAAAGATTTCTCAAATAGAAAAGTTGGACTGACTCATCGAAATGCAAAACTTTTGTGCTGTTAATAATGTCATCAAAAAGATCAAAAAGATAACACACACAGAATGAAAGAGAATTATCTGCCTATTATGTATCTGAGAAAAGAGTACTATTCAGAATATACACTCTTACAACTACATAAAAAAATGGAAACTCGGAAAGCAAAGGATCTGCATAGACATTTCCAAGGAGAATATGTAAAAGGCCTATACGCACATGAAAAGACTCTAGATAGTCATTGTTGTTAAGTGCTATAGAATCAGTTCCAATTCAGTTATGCTATATAGCATTTCTGAGGAGTCGCTGATGAGTTTGAACCCCTGACCTTGCGGTTAGCACTTCTGTGCTTCTCCCACAGCACCACACCAGGACTTATTCAGTGCTGTCGAGTTGGTTCCGACCTATAGCAACTCTATATAGGGTTTCCGAATAGCTGCTGGTGAGCTTGAGCCACTGACCTTGTGTTTCAAACTCTGTAGTCCAGTGCATTAATCAACAGCTCTAGGAAAATGCAAATCAAAACGACAATATGATTATCACTTCATACTAGGACATCAGACTGGTTCAGAATGGTTCAGTCATGACCAATGGAAACAGGGGCAGTATATGGGTTGCATAGCAACCAAATTTCTTGTGTGACAGGTTTTGATCCAAGTAGGATTCCTGGTGTGGTGTTATAACGTAAGCACTGGACTGCTAGATGCAAGGTCAGAGGTTCAAACCAACCAGCTGCTCCTCAGAAACCATATTCAGGGAACTATGAGTTGGAACCAATTCAATGGTGCTTAACAACAACAAAGGAGTCCTGGTGTGGTGCTGTAGGCTAATGCGTCAGACTGCAAAGTCACTTGAACTGCCAGGTCGGTGGGGTTTCAAGCTCATCAGCGGCTCCTTGGAAACCCTATACAGAGTCGCTATGGGTCGGAATCGACTCGAAGGCACTTAACAACAATAAATCAGCAGTGTTCCACTCAATGATGGTGATTCAGCACACTGCTTTGAATGTATGTTGATGTCCATTATTGTTGTTAAGTGCCGTCAAGTTGGTGCCGACTCATAACAACCCTGTACAGGATTTCTGAGGAGCAACTGGTAGGTTTGAACCACCGAACTTGCGGCTCAAACTGACCTTGCAGTCCAACGCATTACCCTGCAGCCCCACACCAATAACCCAATCGTAGCAGGAAACTCTCAAGAGCCTGATTCAAGAGACTGCATATTGGCATCTACTAAAGCCACTAAATTGCATGCTTTAAATAGGTGATTTGTAAGGAATGTGAATTTTCTATCAATAAAGCTGTTTTAAAAAATAATAAAGGAAGAAAAGATTTCTTTTGATGAATGTCTAAGCCAAAAGTGAACGACCACTCATAAAAAAGGTGTCATCTTCCAGGAGCTCTGTGACTAAGGTATGGGGATGGGGATGGGAAGGAGCTCTCAGGTTCAACAGTTAAACACTTGGCTACTAACTGAAAGGTTGGTGGTTTGAAAGATCTGGCAACTGCTAGAAGTTTTTTGTTTATTTTAACCACCTGTTCTGCTCTGCTTACACATCTTTAAGCCTCAAAAACCCTATGGAGCAGTTCTATCCTGTAACACATGGAGTCGTTGTGAATTGAAAATATACTTGACCGGGGGATGGAGAGCAGGGAGTAGGAGAACATGAACCGAGGGGCAGGTGGCAGCACTGGCTCCTTGGAGATGTATCCTTGGAAGAATTTTGGAAAACAATAGAATTGAAATAGAATCTGTCCACAAACTTGTTGAAGCCCCCTCATATATGTAACAACCAGCTAAAAGAATGATTTGTGAATAATAAATCTAGAAGGACCCTAGAGTGCTTTGTCACTAACGCATGGCCTTACTATGCCACCTATAGTTCCTATTTGGTGCGAACAGGTAATGCACTTGGTACTATAATGGAAAGGTTGGAGGTTTGAGTCTATCCAGAGACACCTCAGAAGAAAAGCCTAGTGATCTACTTTCAAAAAATCAGCCATTGAAAATCTTATGGAGCATAGTTCTACACTGACACACACAGGATCACCATGGATTACATCCAACTTGATGGCGACTGGTTACTGGTGCTAAGCCATGAAGATCATAAACATAGAAGTCCCCTCTTCCCCTTGGGAGGTTCAGTTTTATTAAATGAAGACTCACTTGAACGTTCACCACGTGATGCTGAGAAATCAAGGTTTTCTGAGGAAGATGTAGACAAAGACTCTGTGGATGGTTCAGAATAATTTCTGTCACTCAAGGTGCTTCTTTCAGACTGTGGAGCAGAGTCAGAGGGGTGGGTCAAAGCTGAAGAGTTCACAGCTTTAGGGGATGAAGTTGAGCTTCCTGCTTCATTGACAAATGTCTTGCTGTTGATCAAGGACCAGTGTTCTGTGCTCTCTTCACCTTCAATGGATGGCACTGAAGATTGAGATACAGTCTCTGTTTGAGAAATGGAACTTCCATTGTTTGTATCAGAGTTGCTGGCCAGCTGATGTCCTCCAAAGGCTGTAAATTGTCACAGGGAAAAAAAAAAAATGCCACCATTACACTGATGTGAAAGAGTATCATCAACAACTGATTCCTCTAAGAATAGATTCCCTTTGCCAAAGAACACTGTTCAGCATTTGTTATATGCATAACTGGACATGTATTTTGATACTCGAAATAATTATTTCAGACCTTTCTACTGTCAACAAGACTGCCGTTGTTAAGTGCCCTGACACATATGAATCGGTTCTGACTTATAGCAAACTTGTATAGGGTTTCCAGGGAGCAGCTGGTGAGTTTGAACTGCCAACTTTGTGGTTCAAACTGACCTTATAGTCCAGTGCTTGTACTTAAATAAAAGGTGGTAAAGAAGGAACTGGAGTTCAGTGCTTTTAAACATTTGTAAAGTGTCAGAGTAACTTATAAGCTTGAATATTTATTCCCATAAAAAGTGGTCAATGGAGTTTGTGTGTCATTACGTCTAGCGAGTGTGATATGTATATGTACATACAGTGCAAAGTCAGAAGCATCCTTCTAAAAGAGTTCTGATATTGAAAAAGATCATCCTAATTCTGAAATACAATCTACTATTGCTGTTGTTGTTAAATACCATCAAGTTGGTTCAGATTCATAGCAACACTGAATAGGGTTTCCGAGGAGCGGTTGGTAGATTTGAATTGCCCAATTGTGGTTCAAATCGACCTTGTGGTCCAGTGCATTATTCTGCAGCGTCACACCAGAACGCCAATAAACTATTGGGAGTAAGCAAAAGCATGAATCTCTGAAATATAAAATTGTTTGTAAATATGATCAATACACAACAGATTTTAAAAATGGGCCAGCTCTTACTGGAAATACTATACTATGGAGTGAAAGGAAGATGGAAGGCGCAGTGAGAGCTCAAGGCTGAGGAGTCCGGTCTGCCATGAGTAAGCTGAGTAACCGTGTACTCACTACTCAACTCTTCCGAGTCTTTGTGTCCTCACCTATAGAAAAGTGGGCAGAGTGATAGCTGCTTGACTTAGTCTATAACGTTCTCGTAAAGATGAAAATCAAAATATAATAATGAGGTCTAACAAATAAAGGAATTCGTGTTATCGATGAACACACGTTGCAATTCAGAGATTACAAATGGTCTTGAAGCAATCTCTTAAGAAAAACTGTTTAGAACTGTTCATAATTAATTGATCAAGGAAATGTCAAATACTTACTTTGGGAATCACTTTGTCAAAATCCCACTGAGATCTCCAAAGATGTAAACCTAAATCCATTTTTCAAATACTTACTTGGGGAATCACTTTGCCAAAATCCCACTGAGATCTCCGAAGATGTAAGCCTAAATCCATTTTCTGTTGATGGTTCAATGAAGTCTCCATCCCCCAGATTCCCAGTGACTTGACTGTTCCTTCTTGAGTCCCATACAGAGGGTGAAGAATGTTCTGAAGCTGAAGTGGAGGCAGTTTCAGAGTCCTCAGGAAAGTGCTTGGTTTCATTTACAGGTCCCAGGTGGACAGGTAAAGACTGCAGCATCCCAGGGACACCGTCAGTGAGCGTGGTAGCCTCATGCAGACTGTCTGTCTGAGTGATCGAGGGACTGTTGAAGGTAGTGGAGTTATTTACTTCCTTTATACTTCCAGAAGCTAAAACATAAGAAAATAAGCTTCAAAACTCACAGAAATTTATAAAGAGCAAGGAAGTATCCAAATTAGAATAATGTTCATTAGATTTTAATAGATTAATCTGTGGACTGTGATTCAAATAGCCACCAAATATGAGAAGATGCCCAGTTTAGTCTTCAGGCATCAGGCAGATAGACAGCTACAAGGTAGAACCAAAATGAGATGCCATTTCACTTTCACCAGGATGGCTAAGATTAAAAAGAAAATCGTAACCTTTATCCACTGCTGGTAGGAATGTAAAATGGCACAGTCATTGTACAAAACAGTTTGATGCTTTCTCAAAACAATAAAAATAGAAGTACAATATGATCCAGCAATTCCATTCCCAGGTATATACCCCAAAGACTTGAAAGCAGAGACTCAAGCAGAGATTTGTACAACAATGTTCATTGTAGCACTAAAAGATACTTACCCTCTTAAATGCCCATCAACAGATAAAAACAACATGTGGTACATATATACAATGGAATGTTACTCAGCCAGTAGGAGAAATAAAATACTGATACATGCTATAATATGGTTGGAGCTGGAAGACATTATGTTGAAGTAAAATAAGTTGATCACAAAAGGACATATATTGTATTACCTGACGTAGATAAAAAGACAAGAAAGGGCAAATACATTGAGGACAAAGTTTACCGGGAGTGGGAAGGAAGAAGAAAGGGGTTAATGGTGACAAAAAATGTTGTGTTGAGTAAAGGTAGGGCTATATAGCCAATTACTGCTATTACTGTCAATAAGTTGTACATACCTGTCAAAAGTTGAACTGAACAAAAGGTGTGTGATATATTTACATAAATGACCAAAAAAGAAAAAAAGTTAAGTTACTGAGGCTGTTTAAATCAACTTAAAACCTCATGGGATTTGGTTCCTTGGTCTCTAAGTTTAAGGGTCATGAATTCATGGGACATCACAGTTAATTGGCCGAATGTGAAGAAGAACCTTCTAGTTCTTGCAAAGTGCCTGGGGTCTTGAAAGTTTTCAAGCAACCATGCACAGTACAACAGTTGATCTCTATTCACCTGGAGTAACAGAGTGAGAAGGAGAGTCCGGGACAGGTGGAGGAAATGGAATGTGTGGCTAATTGCCTCCAGGAACTACTGCCTCCTTTGCCATGAGACCAGAAGAACTGGATGGTGCCCAGCTACTATAACTGAACATTGTAGTAAAAAATTCTATAGAAGACCCCTCAGAAAAAACCCACTTTCAAGACTAAGACTAAGAATACACGCTCTGAATGGTGACCATGTTCGTCACTGATAAGGGGAAGTGAGGGAAAAACAGCAATGAAGCTGCAAGCTAAGCCCTACAACGTTCAATAGACTCTCATGAACCTGGTGGAGACCTGGTTACCCAGCAGTGTGGCAAGACCTGGGGACTGTTTGGCCCAGAGTCAGTGACATAGCCACAGAGGACTAGAGTGGAGAGTGAAGCGTCCAGCTGATAAGAAGAGAAGGCATATGCACAAGAACACCCACACTTGCAGATAATACCC